ACGGGGATCTTAGACAAAAACTAAAATATTACATTTAGAATTCAAATAATTATCATCAATCCAGACGCATTCATCTAAAGATTCCTCCACAACCAAACCAAAGCAAGCTGTAAACTCCCCTGACAAACTAGTGCTAAGGAACCATGGTCTTACTTGACCCCAAACATTTCTATTTTTTGAATCATGAACCTAATAATAATGGTTTTGCTGAATGTAACATGTGTGCAAAGCATGTGACATCGACAAATCGGCAACAGCAAAAAAAAAAAAAAGTGTATCTATCGCCTCTGCCGTCTGCATCGCAATCCCCCAGTGCTTTTCAAAATCTCCCCGTTTTAACACGTACGCTGCTAATTTTATACAGCTTATTTACACTGCATAGACGACTGGTTTGTCGCCCATCTTGTGTCTATATTCGGCACAAAAGTCTGGCGTGCTGTCTCAGCCTGAACTGGCGTGAGGAGCTCAACAAACAGCCTCCGAAGTTCTTTGAGAAAGTTAATACTGAAAAGAAAACCTAATCACCGTGATTTAGAGCGTAAACTACAACATGCTGGCTCATCCTCATGTGATGGGGAAGTGTAATATCTCCAGGGCACAAGTTTGAAGTCCGAAAAACAAGACATTAATTTTTTCATAGATTACAAACGTGAGGGAGAAAGTCACTTATATCGCCTTTTTGTATACGCAATTATATGTATGTATTAGACTATACATATAAAGATAGATTTATTGAGTTTATTTAAGGAAAGCCCCTTGAGATTAATCATCCCATTATCAACGTGGGTCCAAACATACACACATACATTACACACATACTGGACAAACACACACATTTACAGGGCATTAAGGATAAGAAAAGTTACATAAATTACATAAACACTAGGGGTGGGACGATACTTTCTCCCTCGATTCGATTATCGATATGCATTTACCAAGTATCGATATCGATTTTGAAAAAAAACTCTCCATTCTATTTGTCATGAAATAAAGAGTATTTTTTCTTTTATTTATGCCATAAATTGGCATATTGTATACATATACATACAGAATACAGAACACTAGTAACATAAAAAGGAACCTAAATAATTCCAGCTTAAATGAACCAAAAGACATAATTGATCGTATGGGATTTAATTGAGAATATGTTATATTGACTGGCAATAATTTCTGTGTCCATAAATGTACATTGGCAGCCTCACTCAGTTTGTCCAAAATGCCTCCATGATGATGAACAAGAAAATACCCACAGATGCAGCCTTATCTCATATAGATACAGAAAATATGTAGAAAATGAGAGAGGATAACCCTTAGTCATAATAATAATATGGCACAGGAGCATGTCTTGTCCTGTTACAATGGCTCTGGACACGTGGAGACAACACTGGTCATATTCAGCCAGTGCCGACGCATAACAGTCTAATGACATTTGCGTAATGAAAAGATTGAAGCAAATTGGTTAAGAAATGCTGAAATGGGTTAAAGGTTGGAGCTGTTGTCTAAGATGGCAGTTCCCCTCAAGAAATGGTGAGATTTAGGAGACAAAAAGTGAGCGCCTCTCCTCCAAAGTATTGTTTTGAAATAGTATTAAAAGTCAAACTCGTGTCACAACTATATGTCATATGACGACCTCATCACTGGGGAAATAGGGTGAGTCTTACTTCATGAAGTCTTACTTCATGTCATGTCCAATGACATGATAATTAACAATGAATAACAACAGTTTGGAATGTTGAGTGTATTTCGATGCCAATTTGTAGAGAAAAACTGCGTTCCCAACTCCTCTTTTGTACCAGCATTACCAGCTTCACCAGGGTTTCCTAAATATATGGATTTACAAGGACGTAAATGCAGCGGTGGAGAAGGTTGAAGTTGAAATGTGACTCACTAATGTTGTAAGACCAACACGTGGCACTTCTAAAAATAACTCAATTAGTGTCTCTCTACAAACAGATATGGTTTAGTCTGATGTGTTTCCCTTTCTCAGAAGCTTGACACACACTATTGACACAAACTTAGACGTCATAAAACAAAGGAAAGACAATAAGTTCCACACAAAGGACTAAATTACCTGAATCACTGATCATCTTGGGACTTTTCATCAGACTTGCCGGACCGGCCAGGACCACACATTATGTGGTGGTCACTGGTCGAGCAGCTCTCAGACAAAGCATGAACAACTGTGGGGTAAACTCTAGAGCAGTGGGCCTTGGTGCATTACTGTATCACCACACTCACAAAAATCTAGATTAATGTTGGAAATATTGTTTTTTTCTTAGTGCATATTTGTTTGACGATTCAATTCAAAATGATGAGAATGACTTTGCTTTGTTAATAAAAATGAATAATTTGTTGTTGTTGCCATGTGATTTATTTTCAATGCAAAACTCAAAAAGATTGGGGAACACTGGTTTAGAGCAGTTCAGACTTACAACAACAACAAGGGAACAACGTGAACCTTCTTTTTATTCAGGATTAAGATCTGAACTTAAATTGAAAAGTGAAAAATTAATTTGCTGAAACAAATATCTCTGTTTTGAAAATATGTCAAAAAGTATTCCTACTGCTACATTCGTCGGTCAGTACATAATAATTTGCCCATGAAGAGGTGAAAGTGAATGTGTATGGCTCTAAATGAGATCTAGAGGCAAATTGTCTTTCAAAAATGTTTAATTACTATTGCAAATTAACTGTTTATTGAAAAATATATTTTGACAATCATAATTAATTAGTATTTTTTATCTAAATCGGAAAGTTGAAGTGAACCCGCTGCAAGACATTCTTATATAGATCATTAGAAATATATATACATTTTTTATGCGTTTTATTTGTATGTCATGACTGTTATGTATGAGTTGTATAAAATCACATCTCACAGAACTTACTGTGTTGGAGTCTGTGAGGAGAGCAACGATGAATCCATTACAAAAACAGTTGATTATTTAAGTTGCAATGAAATTATTATTTGCTACAGCTCATTCACCAGTAAAGGCTCAAAGCACACCTGTTAACAACTAAACCAGGACTCAAACCAGGTCTACGCTTGGACCGACTGTACAAATCACTGAGTACAATTAGTGATGTTCTTAACGCAGGTGTAGATATTAACGCAGGCCTAATAATTCTGACTCTAGACCAGGATCAAGTTAAGCAGAGCTAGACTTAACTAAACAATAATGCATTATAGCAGGGCATGGATACTCAAAAACTTGAACTCAAAAGCTGGTGCTGCTATGCCAGGGGTCTCCAACCTATGGCTTGGGAGATCCCAGTAGCTCACCACCCCCTGGCAAGAAATATATATTCATTTGTCCAAAACTTTTGTAAATGCAAGCTAACATAGTAATGAATGATAAATAATGACTCTTTATATTAAACGTTCCTTATCTAAGGCAAGCTCTCACCATTAATACTCTTAAATGTGTTTAAGCTGTAACAACATTGGCTCAAAAATAGCACAGTGTTCCTTTTTAAGTAGTTCTCTGCCATTTTAGACCATAAAGTATCTCTCCAGGGTAATTCGCTCTACGAATGCATGAGACAAACTTTGTTACTGTAAGGCGTTGTTGAAACTACTAAGCACAATGTAAATAGAGCAGAGCCTATGCGAGCCTATCACATCCTTTTATTATTTGGCAACACCTGAGATACAGTAGCTTCCAGATGATTGTAAAGGCAAGTTTCCATTGCCACACGGAGCTGATGTGCACAAGACAACACCCAGGAGTTGCATAAGTTTAAGCGAGTGAGCAAAAGCAGCGGTTCCAGAGGACTTTTATTCCCCCGGGAGAGAGAGCGCAGCAGCGGGGCGGCCGTGGGGCTGACTTCGGGCTGGTCCCACAAACACGACCCTCGCCTCATTATCACATGAACTCGAAAACCGCTTGAGCATGGGAAATAACTGTCCACACACACACATACACACACAGACACATGCACACACACACAGACACACACACACGCACGCACACACACATACACATACACGCAGCCAAACACCGACTCTGACCTGCTTTTCAGCGGCTGGCTCTTCAGTTCGTAATATGTTTTGGGCTCCTCTTGGAACTCCTCCTCTGCGCTCTCAAAGTCCGGGACTATTCCAGATTCGGACTGCATTTTCACCGATGTCAATTTTGGTAAAGCCAGAGGGGAAAAAAGAAAGACACATAGACGGGCGCAAATGTGTCCCAGCCGCCGGAGACGCAAGCCCTCTGTGCGCGGTGTAGTCCGCCAGTGCAGTGGGGACAGAGAGAGCAGAGGGCGCTCCGTCTCAGCGCGCACTACAAGTCCCATCGGCCACCGCGGCATGCCTCTATCAGCACGCTCTTCATTGGCTGACGCATCCCGAACTTAATTTCATTAAGAATGTGTTTTAAAGTTTATTATAGACTTGCAGACGACTTAATTCCCTGTAGATTTTAACAATTTGCACGTTATGAGGAATTATTTTAAGTATTGAAGTTATAGGGTTGTAATTTTTCTTCTTCTTCTACAGCCATTATAAATGTAGCTCTCTGTATATGTATGTATATATGTATAATACAAAAAGTATACAGTATCACAGGCTGTAGTACTTAATACAATACATTTGTGATTTCTTGACTTGCAAACACTTTACCAAGCATTGAAATGTTGAGATTTAGGGATATGGGAGTTATTAGTATTACTGTGTTTTATTAATCCTTTATTATAGCCCCCGTAGATGATCCAAAGATAAAATAAATATATATACATTGCTATTCAGTTGTGTTAGTATGTGTCCTGAAGATTGTAAGTTGGGTATGTTAATCAATAGCTGTATGGAATCTTGACCTTGACTTCAACCAAAAAATAAAATAAAAGCGAGAGAAAAAATACGCTAATGACCCTGTCGCCCACCACAAACTGCATTTTCATAATTGCATTCTTCAAACTAGGAAGACACCCTAACAGTGCATTGAATTACCATGACAAAGTGCATGTTAAGTCCGTAGCAGAGATGGAAAAGACACATTACTGACCTGCAGGCGTAGTTGAGGCTCATCCGTTTGCCATCCTTCCCCGCGCACGCAAGCTGCTGCTGCTGCTGCTGCTGCCTTGGCTTCTGCGCCTGCCTCCCCACCGCTATCCCTCCTGGAATAAAACAAAATATGCACTCCTTCATCTGACCACGCGAGGGCAGTGTGGCGTAAGTTCAGGCATGGTGAACGCTTGGCCACTTTTCTTATTTACTCTAGATGCAAATACACTACCAACATTTGCATTTTCTTCATCCTGCTCAACTGGTTTATTTCATGTTTGGCAGCTCACGCAAAAGCAATGCAAATATGTGCTTTTTAATGCCTTGTGGTCTTTTCTACATTATTATTCTAACCAATGTATACATTATTTCATAACCAAGTACACTCCCTTCCTATGTTTCTACGCCTGATCTAGAGCACAAACAAATGGGTGGATTCTTAGTTTTGGAGAGAGGTAGTGGTAGTGACTGAATACATTTGCACAGAACTTTTCCTCATTGGTGTCTATGAACTCAAATGTATAATACAATTTTGAAAGCACATTTATTTATGTTGTCAGCTCATTTATGCATTAACGTGATTTGTATGGATCAGTCTGGCACAAAAAAAAACCTTGCATCTAATCTAATCTAATTCACTCAAATTCTACTCAAGTTGAAACAATCTCTGCACCAGAAAAAGATCAAACTCCAAAGTCTGTCTAAACGTTTTCACTGAACGAGAGATTTAGGGACCTGTAACCCGGCCAAAAGGTATTTATTTTAGCAAATTTTGGACAATGTATGTTTTGCGGTTTAAAATTAGTTGGAGCTTTATAATTATCTGCTTCGTTCAACCCCTTTTCAAAACGGTGTCTGTAAATCTGTTATTTTGGTCTTCACAATTGTGTTGAACAGGTTTTAAAATAAACTTCTTGATTGATTGATATTTTTGAGTAAAGAAGTTAAATCTGGTCCCATTTCATCCCAGAATGTCTGTGTGGATTCAAAACAAAAGGAATTCATCTTTTGTATTTTCATTCATTTCCAAAAGTTTGATCGTCCTTTTGCAGACCTTTTGAAAAATCGGAATAATTGAGCATAAAATATTAACAATATTAACAATGCATATGTTTTATTATTTTTTGGACACTCAAAGACGCTCCACATGGCATTATTCATTCATGATAAACCATAGCTGCCCTGGGGCACACTGACAGAAGCAAGGCAACCAGTATGTACCAGCCCCTTCACGCACACACCAGACTCACTCCAGGCGATGTGTGTCTTGCAGCAGTGGCTCAAAATAGCTACAACATAATGGTGAAGATTGGGATTCGTCATTTCTCTGGATTGTTGCACACATAACTACATCAACCGTTTATTGCACTGCTTTTCAGACATTCGTGTTGCCATGAAGATGTTATTGCTTTGCTTGAAATGTATCTCAACATGAACTACAACTTATTAATGCTTTCTACTGCTCAAAAAAAACAAAACAAAATCTTACATCAGATCAGCTCAATTGTTATGTTTTTTTTGCCTTGTTTAATAGCTACAGTCTAAACATGGTGAGTCCAGTCTAGACTATGGACCTTGAAAAGTCAAATATTTCCTTTAAGCACAGCCGGAAAACTTGAAAACCACTTAGAAACAAAATAATCCTCATTTAGGAACAGATTAGACGTGAGCTCGGAGCCTGGTGGTTTTAAACAAAGCAGAACGGAGCAGAGAGCATGCATTACGAGCGCTGTTGTCGTGAGCGAGCAGACCACTGATTAGAGAGGCCTCCAGCTGGGAGAGAGGCGCTTTCACACAACACTGCATTTTTAAAAGCCCCGGAGGATATGACAGATTCATATTTATATTGTTCTAATGGTTCAAACACATACTCCACATACCACCGCATGAAATCATTTGACAATCCGTGGTTAGTGTGTGTCTATGTACAGTATATGAACTGGAAAGTGCATTAATGCCTGTACACTGGAAAAAAAGATAGAATATGAGGTAGTAATTGCTTGAGTTGAGTGGTTTTTATCTTGATTTGAGAACATTCTGATTCTCTCTTAAAATGAGATTGGGAAATGGGAAATGCCATTCAGCCACTCTGTCCCCAAAGTCTGAAACACTCTCCTGCTTGATCTGCAACAGTTTGGACTCTCTGGACATTTTCAAATCCCATCACAAAACCTTTTTAAACTGGCTTACTCTTTGTCATTATAAAAACTTATTAAATTCTGTACTTTTGATATTGAGTGTGATGTTTTTGATATATTGTGAGGCGTCCTTGGGTGTCTTGAAAGGCCCCATACAATAAAATGAATTATTGTTATTATTATCATTATTTTAGTGTTATTTCAAGAACTATTGCTTTATTTTCTCATAACATGGGAAACATTTCTTGTATTTTTATTTTTGTATTTTTTTGTAAGATAATTTAGCTTCTCTCATTGGCAAATCTTGTTTTAAGGCGGTCAAAATGTGTTCAAATTAAGATACATGTAGCCAAATGTTTGATATTTTTGACAGATTTTTTAATACTTTTTGCAGCATATTAATAGTGTTGCAAAGTGTTGCTAAGACGGGCAGTAAATGGAACAGCGACTATATGAGTATTTATTTATAAATGTCAATGTGCTGAAGTTTTTGGCCGGTGGATTCAGGGAATGTGCTGCCAGCTTACAGAAGTGGATAACACTGCCAGACACAGTTTCATATCATCACTACATAAGAGGTGTCAAGATTCACCCGAAGTACATAAGACAGGGTATAATGTACTTTTCACAAAAAATGGCTCTGACAAGATTTCATTGGATGCATTAGACATGAATAGTTTATTTGTAAAAACAGATGAGTGCCATTACAAAATAAAAAAGTATTTGAAAGGCTCACAATTTGCCCTTTAAAGGACAACTCACCCTCAAATCCACTTTT